CACTGGTACAGTGACAGACAGATAGACCAATGGAACAGAATCAAAAACTCAGAAATAGACCCATCCATCTATGGACAGCTGATCTTTGACAAAGGACAAAAACCCATTATTGAGGGAGAGATAGCCTCTATAAGAAATGATGCTGGCAAAAATCAATATCTACTTGCAGAAAAATGAAACAAGACCCATACCTCACCCCAGTCACAAAAACAAACTCAAGTTGGATCAAAGACTTAAACGTAAAACCCAAAACTATAAAGCTCATCAAAGATAAAATAGGGGGAAATCTAGGAGCCCTAATTTACAGCACAAATATACTATCAAGCATAACCCAAGATGCATAGGCAGTGGAAGAGAAGGTAGATGACTAAGACCTTTTAAAAATTAAGTTCTCATGTGCATCAAAAGACTTCTCCAAAAGGGTAAAGAGAACATACAGAATGGGAAAAAAATATTTGGCCATGACATATCTGACAAAGGACTTATTTCCAAAATTTATAGAAAACTTCAACACCTCAACATCAAAAAGACAAATAATTCCAATTCAAAAATGAGCAACAGACATGGACAGACACTTCACTAAACATGATACACCAGCAGCCAACAAACACATGAAGAAATGCTTATGATCATTAGCCATTAGAGAGATGGGAATCAAAACAATAATGATATCATAATAATGAATTACCTCAACCCAGCAAAAATGGCAAAGTTCAGTAAGACAGAAAATAACAAATGCTGGTTGCAGACAGATTGGAACTCTCATACACTGCTGGTGGGACTGCAAAATGGTACAACTATTGTGGAAAATGGTATGGCATTTCTTTAACAAACTAAAAATATAAATGCCATTTGATCCAGCAATTCCATTACTAGGAATATATCCTGAAGAAGTGAGATACAGGACATGAACAGACAGACATATGCATAGTGAATTGCAGTACAATTCACTATGGCAAAGAGATGGAAACAATCTAAATGCCCATCAATAGATGAATGGATAACCAAACTACGGTACCTTCACACAATAGAATACTATGCTACATTAAAGAATAATGAAGAGTATACGAATCATAGATGAATTTGGAGGCTATCATACTGAGTGAAATAAGTTAGTCGCAGAAGGAGAAATATTGTATAAGCCCATGGTGGCATAATGCTTAAGGCATTTGACTGCTAACCAGAAGGCTGGCAGTTCAAACCTACCAGCCACTCCTCAGAAGGAAGACTGGGCAATCTACTTCCATAGAGATACCACCTCAGAAACCCAAGGAGGTGTCCCTATGAGTTGGAATCAACTCAACAGCAGTGAGTTTGGTTTTTATTGCTGTAAAAAGTCAAGGAAAGTTTTACTTAGGGAAGAAAACTCACTTTGTAGGATTCCAGGAATGGGAGGGAAGGGAAGGGAAAATTTCAGACCAGTTCGAGGTCACATGTTGGTTTGGGTAAGGGGAGGGACAATATAAAAAGAGTCTGTGACCAGCATGATGACATCGGGAAAGGAAGGACACTGAAACACACACATAAGATATGGACAACAGAGGCAAGTACTAGTATGTGCACAATACTGCAT